CAAGGCTGGCTGGGGAATCCTGGGAATTGGAGTCCACACATCTTAAAGTTGCCAAGGTTGAGAAACACTGCTCTAAGATGATCATTACAAGCGACTTCTCTTGCGATCCTTGAAGATGACCCCAAGAAAAAGACACCCACAGACTGTGCCTTCCCCAAGCTGAAGTTCTCTTGAAGGGCGAGCTCCCATCAACTCCAGCCAGCAGGGCAGCCTCCGAAGGGCACCAGGCTGAACAAAGCCGCTTGCTATTTTACCATCCCAAATGGCTGCTGCTGTTCCTCCTTCCTTGTTTCTGTATTTTTGCTGGGGTTTGTGCCATTTCTTGTGAAGTACGAAAGTTGCAATTCAAAATAGCAGTCTTGATTTTTAAAATTCCCAGGCAGTCACACCACTTTTTCAGCAAGGTAACCTGAGATGCAATAAACGCCACTGAGACTGAACCATACCCCAGCAGACACGCTAATGCACAGACGGATTAATCGGGGGGGGGGGGGGATTTGTTCTAGGCTGAAGAATATCCAGGGAAAAAAGAGGTTATGAGTTTCGTTTTCCCAGCTAATGCAAAAGAATTTCTGGGCTTAAGTTCCATCAGACCTCACAGTGGGTGATTTTCTCGGGGCCTTGTGAAGGCTTATGTGGGGGGGGGGTGTGGATCTGCAAGAGCCTCCACTGGAGAGAGACTGAGGGGGGGTAGAGGGGGCAGGAGACACACATCAGAGGAACAGAGAACAAGTAGTAAATCTGGTACTCAATAATGACCCAACAGATGGGAAAAGAATGGGGCTAGTATTGGAACATCCTGCCCCCCCCCCCTACGGCTGTGATCTCCCTCCCAATTCTTCATTCAGCGTGGCAAACTCTGCTTTCCTTTTGGGGAGGGCCATGGTTTGACATCCATGATGGGGGCTTCCTGCATTTGCCAGGGACCTGGCCTAGATTTAATACCCTTCTGAAAGATTATTCCAGTGATTCTTAATGCTGGAGGGGATGAGTGCTGCTTTGATAACAAGATAAAGGTGGGATCTGGGGGATCATGTGCTAGCTTAATGGATCACTCCCTTGGATTCTCCCCAAGAGATCTCACCAACACAGCGGTGGGCCTTCAGAAACCCCTTCTGCCCAAGATGGATGGCTGTGGCTTATACAACTTGTAGAATTACAAGTTTTGGATTCAGTTTTAAAAAGGTGACCTGGAGAGTGGGTGTGAGAATGTGCCACCTGCCTCAGTTCCTTAAAGTAGCTATGTCTTTTTCTGGAATTGCATGCAATCCCAAGAAAAGACAGGGCTGCTTTAAGGAGTTGCAGACTGACATGTATTGGTGCGGTGAAACCCCTTTGGGAAACTGAATCTAAGGTCTGAACAGCCATAACCTTCACATAACCTGTGAAGAAGAGTTATTTTGCAAGACCAAAAGTCCCCAGTTAAACTTCTTAATTCACGGAAGGTCTGATCTGTTGGCAAGGACTGAAACAGAAGCTGACCTTCTGGCCACAAGAGCTGAAAAGCCAGCCACATTCCCTCTTCCCCTTGACCTGGGGTGCAAACCCCAATCATATCACTACAGCTCTGTAAGCTAAAGCTGTTTCTGAGTGAGCAGCTCTTCCCATTTCACTGCTGGAGAGTTGCCCAGAGGCTGAGAAGATGGCAGAGGGCTGGACAGAAAAGGTCCCAGCTGGTTCTACCAGTTGGTCATCTCTGTCCAGGAGCAGTTTAGGGCTGACTTGAAGAAGTGCTCCCATGATAGCCTCCCTCTCCAGTGACCCTACCTGTCCTCAAAGCGTGTATGATCTGAGATGCAATGAGTAGACATTACCTTTGAAACAGGTGATGAAGTTCTTGACTTTGGCATCATCCAGGAAAAGCTGTGAAACGTTGTCAGGATCAGATCGGGGGGGTGGGGATGGTGGAGGAAGAAAAACAGAAAAATTGAGTAAGTTGTCTGCCGTTCTTTCTGCAAAATACAGAATATACGGAAAGGGAGGGAGTGGAAGAAAAGACCCACTCCCTCAGAAACAGAGAAGCAACAGCACCACCACCCTGGAGGAGAAAGGCCATCCCCGTGGTTCACACAAGCCTCCCTGCTGTGTATCAGTCAGTGGTGCAGCTTCCCACATTGCTTCAATGGCACATGAGACAGTTTCACCATCAGATCCTGGCCTCCTAAGCCAGACCGATCAGGCTGGGTGTGGGAGAAAAGGCAAATTAGGGTGCCTGATGAAGTGTGCAGGATGGCCAAGATCTGCACACACCCCTCACTTGCTTGGTTGCTGGCCCTGGAGGCTACACCCCTTGGGGTATTTACTAAGAAGTAAGCCCTCCCTAAGCTTAACACATTTAACTTAAAACATTTTGGGCTCAGTCTGCGAAAAAGGGCAACACATCAACTCTTTTTGGAAGCAAATCCAGCTCTTTTGTCAACTGCCATCTCCCTCCGTTCTCTGCTAAGGTGTCCTGGCCTACAATCGACTGAAGTTTCAATCCAGTTTCAAAAGACTGAAAACATCTGGGATAATCTCAAGAGTGAAAAACCGTTTTGTCTTTTAACCCACAGGGGTCAGCACAGAAACTCTCCATAGACCCACAAGAAGTAATAGACAGCAAGAACGTGCCCAGTGCTTTTTCAGGGCCCTGGAACCACAGCCTGTACCCTCCAAGGGCAGTTGGTGCAACGACTGCCTCCTAAAATTCACATCATGATGCTGGGGGCTGCTCTTTGGACAAGGCTGCCTGAGTGTTTCCTGCAGGACTTTTCAGGTCAGGATTGTTATTGGGAGCTAGCCAAATAATACAGTAGTATTTCCTTTGTCTTGCTTTTGGGAGCGAGCAGAACGTCTGTGGACTGTGCGTGCACGTCCAAAAAGTCCAGATGGTGGCCACGGCCAGAGGTATGAAAAAAGGGCAGGACTTCAACTGCATGGTGGTGGCCACCATCTGGACTTTTTGCCCCCCCCCCCCCCCCCCCC